TATCGAAATACCAGACGAATTGATTGTCGAATACGAGACGCTCTGTTGATTCAATATATGAAAAAGAGCTTATAGCAAATGTCCAAGTAGTCTGAAGCTTTTTGGGGGAGAAGCGTTTTATAGAACAGGTTTAATTAAGTAGCAACAATGTCTTTTGAGTATTTTACCTTAATATAATTTGGTGGTTTCTTAATTTCAGAATTTTCAGCGCAAAATAATGTTGTAATGGCAGCAGCGCAGGATATGACGAGCCATGCTCTGCACGCTTTTACTGTAACTGTAGGTGTAGCTGGTGGTGACTTATCCTTCACAATTACCACTGACAACGTGAAAGTAGCAAAAGAGTTATGCGATACTGCAGTTGAGATAACAAAAGAATTATGCGATACAGCAGTTGAGATAACAAAAGAATTAAGCGGTACTGCAGTTGAGATAACGAAAGAATTAGGCGATACTGCAGCTACACTTGGTACTATTTACGTTTTTTATAAATTGGCAATACCAGTAGTTGATGCAGTTATTGATAAAGTCTTCGATGGTGAAAGAGATGACCAAGAAGTTCGGGAGATCAGACCAGGATCTCTACATGTTTTACTTCGTTGTTTCACGGATAAAAGATTTCTTGAAGTTCTGGCGGACTATGAATCTGGAAGAATAAAAGAACGTTTGCAGAAAGAATTCTCACTGGTTGGCATTGAAGTAGAAGGACTGAAGGTCGAGATCGAAAACATGGAAGAAGTAGAAAAAATTAAAGCAGCTATAAACAAGAGGTATGTAAATCAATTAATATAGCTTTGTATTTTATAGAATGCATCTATCGTTTAGCGTTTACTGTCCAGTATCTTGTCAGTTGTCACGATACATACTCAACAAACCATGACACTACACAATACACAAACTTTCTCATATTCATTGAACTTCCACTCATCGAGTGCGAGTGAGCTTTTAAAATACAGTCCTAAAGCCTAGTTTCCATTTGGTCGTTAGTTGTCGCTGGCACGACAAGTGGCTGATGTAATAGAGTATCAACAAAACTTTATAAAACTCTGCAATCATTAAGACTGATTTGCATATAACACACAAAAAGACTATTATTATATTAGACTATTTCACATCTACCGCTTGTCGTGCCAGCGACAACTAACGACCAAATGGAAACTAGGCTTTAGCAGAAGATCTCATGGTTGTCTCTCGCGTTTCCCCGCTTCGTGGATACCACACACAGTTTATACTTTCGCATCTATAACGGCTGTATATGATTGAAAAATTTGTATAATTAGGTTTTCGAATAATTCATAAAAGATTAAAACCTTCTAATTTTCTTTTGTCTAAACTGTTAAGAAAATCCAAGCGAACCACTGCATCGACACCTAGCCAAAGAAATCGTCTTGCTGCAGATTTGGAGCATGGATTGAGATTGATGGATACAGCAGGAGACACGAAAGCCAAAGTTGAACATGGAGATTTTGATTACCCAAAATTTCTTCCAACAATAGTGAAAATTTTACAATTCATTGAGAATTCTACTGTAGATATAATAGTCCGATAACGGAAATAGTAAAACTCACATAAACGAAGCAGTGGATTGAAGCCGCCAGTCTGAAATATAAGGATTCAAATCGTTAAACACCTACAATACGGGCTGAAAAATCTTAACTTTGTACTTTACTTATGCCGAAGTGTAAAGCATTTTGTCATGGCGGTTTCATCGAAGCATTAATGAACAAGTTATATAACTCTATAGCTCTGTCTAGCACTGTATATAGATGGTTAGGGTAAGCCAGTGGCGGTAAAACGCGGATGTTTCATTTCCAACCAACTAAAAATGGCTTGCGCGCGAAATTTAAAAGCTTTAATCGTATTTTGAATTAATTTAATGGATATACAAACTGTTGGGTTACAGTAATTACTGTACAAAATTTGAGACAATTTGCTTTATTTTAAATATTCATTTTCTCCTAAAAAATCAGCCTTTCGCATGCTTAATTATAACCTTTACCTAATTTAGATATTGCTGACATATGCAAATTAGGCAAAGGCATATTAAGCAGGCAAAAGGCTGATTTTTAATTAAGGAAAAAATGTAAGTTTGCGTAAATAGTTAAAGAGCTTCAACTGAAGCAACTTGTCTCAAATTTCGAGCAGCAATTAAACACCTAACGCATTTTTCACCCGTTAACTTAACATACGACTGAAGCTTTTAAATCTCGTGCACCAGCCATTTTCAGTTTAAGTTCTTTGTATGTTTGCATGGCGATAAAACATATGATAGTTTTGTTTGTGGAAACACTACGTAAATTTATTACTGCAAACTGCAAAGCTTTCGATCCGTAAGCCCGGATCTTCATCAATTTACGTGATAAATATATAAGTAAATTTACGTGGTGTTTCCACAAACAAAACTATTATACATTTTTTGTTTGTTGGAAAATTTACGTTCAAGAAATTTATATATCAAAAACTGGATACCAATACCTGTTTTGCTAAATTGAGAGCAATTTCAACTCTGTTCATTTTTTACTGATACACCCTGTACAAACACACCCGACCGAATACATGATTAATTTGCAATATAGGCTTATATATAGGTTTATATTGTATAAAGTAGGTTTTATTAGACTGTAAAAGACTAAGAAGTTGCAGACATACTTTAAATCATACTGTAGACTTGTATAAACATGCATGAATGACTCCGACTGGGAATTTGTGTTTAGGGCGTTTCAAAAAGTGAGGAGTTTATTAAAACGAAACTGGAAAGTTGGAAAAACGTCGAAATAAATATCGGTGTCACAGGCGGGTCTGGTGTTGGAAAGTCAAGCTTTATAAACGCTATAAGACGGTAAGAGATTTGTGAACTTGTAGCTAACATAGGGTATATTTCAATGATATGATGTACTTTCAGGCATTGCTTTCGATATATTCGTATTTTGTTTACTGTAATACTGGGTGTATATTCGTTTGTTGTATACGACTATTAGCGGCAATATCTTGGTTTGTTTGATAATTATGTAATAAATTTTACCGTTTTACAACGAAAACACCCATTCGAAAACTGAACACATCCTGTTTCACAAGTTATTGGAACATCATCACTGCAAGTACTGTATGATACAGTTTGTTCAACTCGTGTGTTTTTACGCGTGTACAAGAGATTACTCTATTGGCCCCCATTTTGGCTTCACACAATTATAGGGCCTTCTACCTCGTTTATGGTCTTTCCTTGACGCTCCTATCTCGTTCCCACCGCAAGAGAAAACCCTGGTGACAAGGTTGTGTTTCGATAATTTTATTAAATACTATCTTCTCACTTTTACCAGACTTGCAGATGACGACGACGGCGCAGCGGAGACCGGTGTCACAGAGAAAATAAGAGTGGCCACCGTCTACCCTCATCCTACCAACGACAAAATAAAGTTTTGGGATCTACCCAGTATAGGTGCGTACCGGATGTTGCTGTAATAGAATGCTAATGTGCATAAGCAGGAATGATGATACGAAGATTATGATGAATTATGTTGAGACACTGGATATTTATTTCAAAATCCTTACAATGAAAATAGTATGGATCTTAGTCGAAAATGGTGTGGAAATCCAATTTTCATAATAATTGCCATTTCCATACTATTGATATACTATGGATTTAGTGATGCAATCGCAAATTCCATAGTATGTTGTTCCAGTGAGAACGGTGAAGGTGGGGTGAGGATGGTGGTAATAATGGCGGTAATTATGGTAACGGCCATAAGAGTGGTGATGGTGCTGATCGCGGTAATGTGATCATGGTTGTGACAAAGATTAATAGATGGTGGTGGTGACGTTATGGTGGCGATGACGATGGAGGTTTTCTAATATCTGCAGTTTTCAAGGTGGTAGCAGTAGTGTTCACAGTGATTGTTACCAAGAGGAAATTATAATCAAACAACTGCATGTTACAGGACTGGAATGGTGTAAGGCACATGCATTAACTACTTCGACACCATTATCACAACAATTTAATAACTCAACGAACTAATAATTGCAGGTACCGCAAACTACCCAGATTTTGAAATCTACTGCAAACAAGTCGGCTTAGTGAAGTGCGACATCTTCCTGATCTTAACCGCTCGCCGCTTCACTGCAAACGATTTGCTATTAGCCAAAAAAGTAAATTCCATGAAAAAGTCGTTCTTTTTGGTGCGCACCAATATCGATCAGGACGTCCATAATAGAAGAAGAAAGGAAACAAGTAATGAAAAAGCAATTTTGAACGACATTCGAAAAGATTGTTTGGAAAATCTGGAAAGCTTTGGAGCCAGCGATGGAGTTGTATTTCTCATTAGTAATCATTACCCAGCCAAGTGGGATTTTGCTCGTCTCACACAAGCCATTCTGGATGTCTTGCCGGCGGACCAAAAGCAAAGTCTAACGCTGTCATTAGATGTGTCAACAAGCAACTCCAAGGATATTTTAAAACGAAAAGTTGAAGTACTTCGAGGTAATTATAAAGAGATGTCAACATTTTTGCAAGTAACGATTTGTCAAAAACAATTTAAACCTCACTCCATGACCTTCAAAGTGAATATAGCACGAAACTGAATTATTTCGTCTAACACAATATAAAGTTTTGTGACATATGCCGGATGTGCTTTAAGGTTACAGCATACCCTAGAACTTTAAATATTTCATAAATGGTTCTAAATGTTCTTGCTTAGAAAAAGAGTAAACACGTTACAAACAAAACACTTCGCGAAAAGCATTAAAGTCAATTTTCAAACAGATTCATTTTGAGACATCTAGACACACTAAAAAGACAACGTACGTTAGCGTGCGTTTTAACCACCTGTTAATTTGCGCAGGTTGTAGATTTATGTCTGGGCTACGAAAGTTGTTTGTACACAACAGGCTTTACTGGCCTTTGGTTGCAAAGTTACGAGCCTTTTGTTGTGCATTGGTTGCCTCAGCTAAGTAACCCCTAAAGCAACAATAAAATGCGCGCGAACACACATGACGTGCAGGCTTTAAGTGAAACCGG